GAGAAGAGCAGAAGCAAAGGTTGGAGTGATTAAAATGCATGGTGTACTTGGAAGGGGTAACTTGTCCAGAGGCTAGAGCAGGCACAGTGGAGCCAGACCACAAACTCATTCCTATAGGCGGGTCCTCCAAGAGCCTCACCCTGGGATCTGTCTCCCCCGCCCCACACTGGGCAGCGCCCAAAGGTCAATGCAGTGCCACCGGGAGCACCTTGGCGAGGGGTCCGGCCCTGCTCCTTGCACACAAGTACCTGGAGCCAGATGTGAGGCCAGCCAGACCGCCCGCGGGCTTCCCCCTTCAGCTTCTGCTTGGCTGCATACCAGGAGCACCAAAGCTTTGCGCAGGGGACAGACGTGATCAGATCTGTGTTCTATAAGGGACACAGATCTTTTTGCAGGAGGGTGGAAATGGTTGCTGTGGTAGTTTTCAAGCTGTGGTCAGAGCTGTAGGGGTGATGGAAGCACTTGGCCAACTTGCCAAAAGCCAGTTCACCAGTTTATTTATTTTTTAAAATTTATATATTTATTTTTGGCTGTGCTGGGTCTTCGTTGCTGCGTGCGGGCTTCCTCTAGTTGTGGAGAGGGGAGGCTACTCTTCATTGCGGTGCACGGGCTTCTCATTGCGGTGGCTTCTCTTGTTGTGGAGCATGGGCTCTAGGCACGCAGGCTGCAGTAGTTGTGGCGTACGGACTCAGTATTGCAGCTCGCGGGCTCTAGAGCGCAGGCTCAGTAGCTGTGGCGCACGGGCTTAGTTGCTCTGCGGCATGTGGGATCTTCCTGGACCAGGGCTCGAACCCATGTCCCCTGCATTGGCAGGTGGATTCTTAACCACTGCGCCACCAGGGAAGTCCCAGTTCACAAGTTTAAATGCTTCTTTTAACTGTTCAGTTTCCATTGACTGGTTTTCACTTTGTTATCAAAATTGCATTTAAAAAGATGTTCAGGACTTCCCTGGTGGCGCAAAATGTGGTTCTAAGGATAAAAATGTAATTGACCAACTGCATCCGAATAGCTGAAGCAAACAAGTAAATTAAGCAAACTGACCATCTTGGGCCAATTGGCTTCTGATGAATCAACGAAGCTAACTGCATACAGCTGAGGAGCCTGGCAGGCGGAGCAGCAAATGTTCTTTTTAATTTTATTTTATTTTATTTATTTATTTATTTTTGCAGTACACGGGCCTCTCACTGTTGTGGCCTCTCCCGTTGCGGAGCACAGGCTCAGCGGCCATGGCTCACGGGCCCAGCCGCTTCACGGCATGTGGGATCCTCCCGGACCGGGGTACAAACCCGTGTCCCCTGCATCGGCAGGCGGACTCTCAACCACTGCACCACCAGGGAAGCCCGCAAATGTTCTTTAATCCAGGCAGCGAGGATGGGGTGGGAATGCAGGAGTGAGGGCAGCAGGGCTTGGCGGGGACACAGACAGGCTGAGCTCATTTTCGTCACAGACATGCCGAGTGGGAGATGCTGGCAGGATGCCCGGGCGCAGGTGTCCACTTGGTAACTGGGCTCACAGATCTGGAGCTCAGGTGAGGGGTCGAATTGGAAGGAGTTATTTCCACTGTCCTCTTGGTGAATTAGTAGCTGGAGCCACAGGGTAGATCTCCTCAGACAGAGTGCAACAGGGCAGCATCCAGGGATGCTGGGAGGAGCCTTATTGGCTGCTGAAGGACCAGAAGTGAGAAAGTCTGGGAGGACAGACCTAGTGAGAGGGCCCTACCCGCGAGGCCTGGGCAGCAGGGACAGTTCCGGTGTGCAGGGTGAGGAGGCATGGGAGAGATGGCAGGGGCGGGAGAGAGGGGACAGGAGTATGGAGCAAGGGTAAGGCCTGAGGGCATTCGGGGTTGGGGGGGGGGGGCGGGTGACTGACGTTTGGGCCTGAAGAGGCAGATGGAGGCATTTAGGGCCCAGGACAAGCGGCGACAGCTCTCCTAAGCCCCAAATCTGGACTCAAGCAGGGAAGGGTATGGGGGGTGGGAGCTGCTGCCCCATGAACTTGGATTTCCTCAAAGAGGCAGGCAGGGCAGGCGGGAGGCTGTGGGTGAGCACACGGCTGTCAGGACCTGTTGAGGAGGTGGCAGCTGAGGTTGGAGAGCGTGGCGTCAGTAGTGCTGGAGTCCCCTCACGTCTGTGGACTGTCGGGTGGGCTCAGGGTGGCAGAAGGCCCCCAGGGTGAGGGCACTGAAGGGGTGAGTGATGGCAGGGGAGCGAGAGGGTCTGAGGTGCGGTGGGCGGTTATTCCAGGGAAGAAGGGCAGATGCTGGGGAGTGGAAGATGAGTTGGGGAACAGTGGGGAAATGGAGGCCCAGGAGGCACAGCCAGTGGAAAGCAGCAGCTGAAGTGGGCAGAGGGGAGGCCACATGGAGGGCTCCGGGGGCTCTGGACGCAGGCCGGGCTGAGGGAGCCCAGCAGCAGGAGAGAGAGAGGGCCGGGTGGGCCCAGGAGGAAGTGGGGCTTCCAGAGTCCACAGGCCACGTGCTCCAACATTAGGTACCAAATGATTATTTCCTTCCAGAGTGTGGGGCTCTGCAGTCTGGGTGGGGTTCACCTGCTCAGCAGTTCCCAGGCTGGAGAAGAAAAGGGGTGTCCCGTGCTGAGTGGGTGTGGCGGGTCTCTGCAGGAGCCCATGGCTCCCTCCTGGGGTGACACAGGTTTGGCGGGAGGCAAGCTGGGGGCTAGTGAATAAAAATGCCCCAGGAGCTGCTGACCCTGCCCTGCTTCTCCTGGTGTCCGGTCAGGGCAGGATCGGGGCTTCTAAAGCCTGCCTGGAGATCAGGTTTGGCTCAGGGCCTGGCAGGGTGGGCCCCCCTGAGGATGGTCTGAAGGTGGCCTGAACTGAGGTCCCAGGAGTGGGCACCACCTCTGAGCAGGGTTTGCAGCATCCTACCCACCGACCTCCTGGCTACCCAGCGGTGACCAGCCAAAGCCTCTGGGTTCAGTTGACCTCACCTGCTTCATCCCTTCTGGCCTGAACCGTTAGGCAGGTCAGGGAGGGGGGTGGTTGACACCACCCAAGATGACAGCCTGCCTTGTACATGGCCATTACTCTGCATTACCTGTCGTCATGGTTATGGTGACGCTGGGCCAGGCCTGCCTGTGGCACGGGGATGAGATCGCCAAGCTGGCAGTGAGGCCTGAGGAGGGAAGCCAGGAGGGCATAGCGCCTGGCGTACAGCTTGAAAGTGGCGGCCCTTATTTGTCATACAACTGCACCTGGCACTGAGAGGGGCCTTCCGGTCTGCTTTCCCAGGAAGTTCTCCCTGGACGATCTGCTGACGGGCGTGATGCTCTACTGGACGACAGGCACCATCACCTCCTCCCAGCGCTTCTACAAAGAGAACATGAGGCTGGACAATAGGCATGAGGGGTAAGTCCGGCTGAGCCCGGAGCAGGGCTTCTGAGGAGGGTGCCTCCGAGGCAGGGAGCAGGGGAATGGCCTGGCCTTGGACTCGAGGGAGGACGTTTGATGCGGTAAAGTGCAGCCTAGCCTTGGGTGCGCGCCGGGAGTGTAAGATGAGAACACAATTTAAAGGTCAGGGGTGTTGGGAGAGATTCCTATTATTAGAAGTAGCTCACAGAGGGAACACCAGGCCTGCCCCCCAGGCATCCCAAGCGGCTCCCGCAGGGCCGGGAGGCTGTCCTAGGGTTGCGGTGATGGCTCTGGGACTTCCCCGGAACCCTTTCCTGATCTCACAGGGAAACTCTCAGGCAGCAGCAAAGGGAAGCGGCGGGGGGACAAAGGTGGGAGTTAGAGGCTGTCCCACCCCACCTCAGTGACGCTGTCCAGCTGGGGCAGCCCTTCCAGAAAAGAGGGCCCCAGAGAGGGCTGGAATTGAGGTGGGCGGTTAAAACCCTGGGTCTGTCCTTCTATGGTTCCACATGGGTGAGCGAACTGAACCCCCAGCCCCCTGAATCCCTGCTTTGGGGAAGAGGGGGGCCAGGACACAGCTTCCCCCTCAGTGGGATCTCTGTCTCTTCCAGGATAAAGGTCCACGTGCCCACGGGCTTTGCTGCCTTCCCTTGTGAGTTAATACACGTCCCAGAAAAGTGGGTGAAATCCAAATACCCGAAACTCATCTCTTATTCCTACATGCCCCGTGGGGGCCACTTTGCTGCCTTTGAGGAGCCAGAGCTGCTCGCCCAGGACATCCACAAGTTCATGGGGCTGCTGGAGCGGCAGTGACCCCGGCGGGGACCGGCTGTCACCTCGCAGGCAGCCCCTGCCCTGGCATGGCAGGCTTCCTCCCGACACCCGCCGTTTTCCCCGGAAGCCCCCGGTCTCCCAGCCCAGCTCCCAGTAGAAGTGAGGCTGGCAGGGAGGCCCCCTCCCAGTCCTCTGTTGGCGGAGTTGCCCCTTTCCCCAGGAATGTGCTTGCTTCCGTCCCCTGCCCGTGCTGGGACCCCGTGCTCACCCCTCCACACACACTCCCCACACACTTTGTTAAGCAACATGGCTTTGATGATAAATGATTTTCCTTCTAAGAGCGGCTGGAACAAGTGACATATCGAGCCCCAACCCCACGTGGGGTGCCCCTTCCAGCAGAGCTGCCAGGTCTGCACTGGGGCCCTTGCTCCATCCTAGCCAGGAGAGGCAGGACGGGCCGCTGGGGCCGGCGGGAGGCCACTCTGTCCTCCCAGGTGCCGCCCGAGGCAGCTCTGAGCAGAGGCAGTGACGCCGAGTGACTGCCGGGGACCTGCCCGCCTCGCCTCAGCGGGGATGGAAGCGGCCCCCCAGCTCTGCCCACCGGCACCCACCACACCGGCTTGTGCCTCTGGCAGTAGGAAGGCAGCTTCTCCGGCAAGTGCCCAAAGGTGCGTCCCAAGCCGCGGGATCCCGTGGGGAGAGAAAAAGCAAGAGGCTGCGCCCCTCCTTCTGTGGCCATAGTTCTCCCTTGGCTTCAAGGAGGCCCTGAGCACTGCTCCCTTTGGAGGGAACAGACAGATGGAATCAAGGGCTGCAGGCTGAGCCCCACGCACTGGGCCCCGAAGAGGCGGCATCTCACCAGTCTGGCTGAATGGGCATTTTATTAGTGGTCCTCATTGTCTCTGCCAGCTGCAGGGGACCCTGACCCAGCCACAGCGTCACTGGCAACGTGACAGAAAAACACAGAACCATGGCAGGGATGTAGAGGAGACTGGGGCGGCCCAGCACCGGCCCGCTCCCGTCCTGCGCCCTGTGGCTCGCTCCTGGGGGCCGGGGGCAGGGGTGTGAAGGGCCTGATAGCCAGAAGGGGAAGCTGGGATGGACCTGGACCATCATCTGGCACCCATCTCAGGCCTGCGGTTGCTGCAGACTCTTTGGTTATCAGTTGCGTGTGTGCCCGGAGGAGGGGGGGCAGTGTCTGAATGCTCAGAGGGAGAAGGTCTTCCACACGGTACCTCCCCCTCTTGCTTGATACAGTCACCACACTAATGGGTTGGAGGAACACAGTGCCAACACATGATCCTGCTGAAAATCATCAGGGGCATCATCCCGGCCACAGAGCTGAGCACTTATGCAGAAGGGGGACTTGGAAATAGAGCCTTGGGCAAGCAAGGGAGAGTCCAGAGCTGCACATCCTCCCCTTACCACTCCTAGGACTAGAAAAGACCACCACCTGATGGCAGTCCCGCACTTCCGCCTCAGCCAAGGGCCAGAGCCCCTTTCTTCTCCCATCTTTTTAGAGCTGTTGTGCTTAAAACAGGTGGAAAGAAGTCCTGACTTGGTTGAGGTTGGAGTCAAGCCACTTCTCCACCTGTGTCTCTTCCCCTCCCAACTCCCCGGGTCTGGACGAGCCCGGCAGCTCCCCGGCCCTCAGGCCTCCTGGCAGGCGGCCGCCACGCTGTCCGCAGGGCTCCGATCCAGGCACTGCCGTGGGACAGTCCCACTGATGTTGTGGATGGCACCGTAGGTCTGCTGCTGCTGCGGGGACAGGGCTATTTTCTCCGAGGACAAGCTGTTCAGAATCCGGGGCACGTAGGACTGCCAACAAATGGGGGTGTTAGTGCTTGGGTGGGGTGGGCACGAGAGTCCCTATCCCGTTCCTCCCCTACCGCCCCGCCTCCCTCCAGCCGGAAGACACACAGAATGCTCGTGAAGGACACATAAAGAAATAACATCAACCTAGGACATCAGGACCTAAACTATGCCAACTGCAGATTTTCCTAACAGCCAGAGCAAATCAGAACACACAGTCACAGTTCTCCTGGTCATAGAGAAGAGAGCACACACACCAATTTCTCAGAGGAAACAAAACTCTTCCTGGCACTGGATTCTAGAAGAACTTCTCACTCTGTGTAGGAAACAGCTCTATCTACACAGGGCAGGTTTAGAATGCTGTCAGTGGGACTTCTGAGCAGCTGACCGACTCTGTGCAGGTTCTGTTTCCTCTCAATCCCAGACTCCAGCTGCCGACCTGAACCAGGCTGAGAACGAGGGATCTGCATCATCCACCTGCCCTGTCTGGCAGGCATAGTCACAGGTGTGCCTCTGGGTAATGAATCTTCCTGAAACCTCCTCTGGGGCTGGTCCAGAGACAGACACTGATAAGAGTGCCTGACACCCGAGAGGGAGCCACTGGAAAGAATGCTGCTGCTGATCTAGATCGGCGCTGTCCCAGCCCTGTCTGTCAGGCCGGGCGGTCACAGCTCCGGGAGCCTGTGGCTCCACCTTCCTTTCCCAACCCCACCCTGGGAGCAGGACCCTGGAGGCCGGAAGCAGGGAGAACCAGGAAGGAAAGGAGTCCTGGTGTCTTTCTAACACTGTTGCCCCCCCTCCACAGCAGGTAAAATGTTCATTTGTTGAATTCAGAGGGGAGTTAGTGTGACACCCTCTAGGTGCCTAGCAAAGGACCTCACACAGGCAGGTGCTGGCGAAATGCTCTGATAAAGCTTCATCAAACCGCAGGGCCTTGCCATATGGCTTCGCTAAAGGCCCAAGCTCACCAAGCATTAAATATGCAGAGAAGGAAAGTGAGCAGGCAACTGAAACCGAGGGAGATGGGTATACATCATGGCAAAACTAATTATCTTCTGGTGATGGGTGTGGCTTCACACATGCAAGAGAAAACATCCGGAGGGACCAGGGATCCCTTCTCAAATGACGTTAATTCAGAAACCCGCCTGGCACGTGATCAAGGGACTTCTGTCTTAACAGGAGAGGATCAAAGCGGGTTTGCAGGGCCCATCTGGTCGGGGCCGGTGTAGATGCTCACGCTTGGCTAAGAACCGCACTTACTGTGAACGGTGATGGCACGTGGGCCCCCGCCTCACTTCCTTTGTCACTTGCCGATTCTTCGGACTGCAGACAACAGCAAAAACTTGCGATGATAAACAAAACCGATCTTCCTGAACTAACACCCTCTAAACAAACAGACTATTAACACCCAGAATAATAGTACCAGCTGGCACAAAGCTCCCAGCGGCAGCCCAAGAGAGGATGGTGTGGGCAGTGCAGGGAGCAGGGAAGGGGGCAGGGAGGGAAGCTACACGTCACACCCAGCTACCCACGCCTTCCCCGTGGATAAATAAAATGTGGAGAGGGCCGTTGATCTGTTGATCTGGGAAGAGGTGGAGGAGAGATGGAGAATGAAGCCACCATCTTCTCCTCCCAGACCCTGCCTGGGCAGCAGTGGGGGAGGGGCCCTTTACCTTGTAGTTCAGAGGGCTGAGGTGCCTGAAGCATCCAAAGCAGGTGTAGGCCAGGCAGACCAGGATGGTAAGCAGAAGCACCAGGAAGGTGAACACGGTGAGGGGAGCCTTCAGACCTGGGGACAAAGATGCCAGCCTTGGCGGGGGGGAGGTCACACCTGGTGCAGGAACTGTGTGTGGCTTCTCCCTCAGGCCAAAGACGAAGAGAAGGCATCAGCCACCCCCTTCCCACCATCTCCAGCAGCTGGGATGGTATCTTCACAGGCAGGGGCACAAAGAGTGACCCACTGAACAGCTGGCGTTATCCCTGGTCAGATTTCAGGTACTGGGGCACCGAGTCAAAGGCAAGTTGCCAGCTTCCTCGCCGGGTAGGTTCCCTTCAGTCTCCAGTGCCCTCGGCAGAGTCACACATCTCTTCTGCCTCTTCCTTTTTCTCAAGAGTGGCAGTTCTCCCTCCTGCATGTCCCCACTGCCTCCACACCATGAAGTGTGAGGACCTGGGCCCATCCACACCCGCAAAGAGCATCGCGGACGAGCTTCCCCCTCTCTGGTTCAGCCCCTTCATAGCTGGTAAAGGGACCATCTTCTCTGTAAGGCTGTCTGGGGCAATCGACCTGGCCTTCACCAGGTTACACCTGACCTCAGGATAGCTTGGAACTGGGTTGTCGGCGCTGTACCCAATCAGCCCTCACCCTTGGGGTACCACCGTCTGATTGGACAGCGAGTCGATGCTCTTAAAACAGGAAGGGATTTGACCGGCTGGTGTGGATGCGGGAATAGGAGGCTGGGTGTTGCCTCCTGCCCTCCACCCCCGCCCCAGTCAGAAGGGCCACTCACCCAGGCGCAGGAAGGAAAAGAAGTAGAGCCAGAAGAGGCACAGGATGGGAGCGGCCAAGGCCTGGTTCACGGCTGCGAAGTGGATTCGCTTCTCCAGCTTTGCCGGGAGGTAGGCGAAGTAGAGGTTGTGCCGGTCGACCATGTGCTTGAGCAGGATGTAGATGAGGCCTGCAGGGCCAGGGCTGTGAGCTGGACGGTGGCTGGGCCGCAGGGGCCACTCGACGCCCTTCCTCCTGGAGGTGGCTACTTGTGCCGGGAGCTGGGCTGGGGCTGTGGCTGGGCTACGTGCACACGTGCACGTCCTCGCTCCTACTGCTTTTTCTCCTTCTCTCTCTCTCCCCGCCCCGCCCCGCCCTGTCCACCTCTCCCCCTCTCCCCTCTCCCCACCTCCCCTCCCTCCCTCCCAGCCTCTTTCTGACCCAGGGAGTAGAGGTGTCTGTGCTGCTGTCCTCACGGAACATTGAAATTCTAGGACCATTTTGGGGAAAGAGGCGATTTCACACCCAGAGGCCTGGCCTCAACTTCCTCACACGCTGAGCCCCCCTCCTCTTATCCCTCAGTGCTCCCACGCTCCTTTCCTTCTCCCACCCAAGCTGACCCCCTGTACCGTCACTGCCAACAGATGCCCAAGGGTCTAAACCCAGGGATGGCACAGGAGGTGGGTGGGTGCTGCCTCTTCTATCATGTCAGGTTCTTTAAAAACATTTTTTGTCGTTGTTTTGAAAGAGTAATACTATCATAGATCTTTAAAAATAGTACGAGGGCTTCCCTGGTGGCGCAGTGGTTGAGAGTCTGCCTGCCGATGCAGGGGACATGGGTTCGTGCCCCGGTCCGGAAAGATCCCACATGCCGTGGAGCGGCTGGGCCTGTGAGCCATGGCTGCTGAGCCTGTGCGTCCGGAGCCTGTGCTCCGCAACGGGAGAGGCCACAACAGTGAGAGGCCCGCGTACCGCAAAAAAAAAAAAAAAAAGTACGAGAGAGTATACAGGGGAAACTAAAACTTCCTCCTTTCTCTAAACCACAGCTATCACTGCCAACAGTCTCCTGGGTGTTCTGTTTCCTTCCAGACGCTTCCATTTGTCTGCCAGCTCCTGATGGTGTATTTTAATTGCAAGAGCTCGACCTTGTAAGTCAAACAGTCCTAAGTTCATATCTGGGCTCTACTCCTCACTAACAAAGCGTTAAGTGCTTCATCTGTGAAAAGGGGACAGAAACAAGACCTGCCTTGAAGGATCGTGAGAGAATTAAGTGTGACAATCCACGTGGAGAGTGACAGTGGCCACCGGAGCCAGGACACAAACACGAGCGCCTCCACCAGTGCTGCTGGCACTGTCCTAGCCGCTGCCGGAGGGTCACCCAGGAATGAAGCGGTCAGCCGGCAGAGGCCCTCAGACCAGGAGGGGTACTAAGAGAGCTCGCAGTTTGGAAGGCCCGCGGAAGGAATCCATGAGAAATGAAATTAAATTTGGTGTCCCCTGTGGCTACAAGAGGCCCTCTGTTTGTGGGGCTCCATGACGCCCTGCTGATGGCTGCCCGCCATCCACCTACCCTGGGACCGGCCCCAGGGCCACTCACCGAACGGCACGATGATGGGGCAGGTGATGCTGTAGGCCATGATGACGGTGAAGACACAGAGCATCCACGCATACATGGCTCCAAACTCGTACTCGAAGGCCTGGTTCTGGGAGGGGGAGGTGGTGAGGGGCTTAGGGGTTTGGTCCACACCAACCCGCCTCTGTGCATTCCAAGTGGTCGGGGAGAACACAGTGCGGGAGGACTTTGGAAGCGGGAGCCTCACCGCGCCCCTCACCTCTCAGGGCCCCTTCTTTCCCTCCACAAGCCTCCTCCAGCTTCACCTGGCTCACACCCAGACCTCGAAAGGCACAATGACTCGTGTTTTCGTAGTGTTTCTCTTGTTCTAATCCTGTCTACACAACAGGCCTGTGAGCCCCCAAAGGGCAGAGGGGCTACATCTGACTGTAGAATGATACTCCACAGACTCTGTCAGACCCAACATCACTCCGCCCCTTCTAGCCGTGTGTCCCGGGCCAAGCACTTGAGCTCCCGGTGGCTTAGTCTGTGCGTCTGCAAAGCAAACTCCAGTAGCGCCCATCTCACGGCGGGCTCTGAGGATTAAATGACAGGATGCAGGGCTTCTCCTCTTATGGTTCCCACAGTGGCAAAGGAGAATAAAAGAGAACCCCACACACCCAATTCAGAGAGTCCTGGAACAAATGCCACCAGCCCAAAATGCCTTGACCTCTGTAGTAATCTAAGAATTTATGCAAATGAAGGTCCATGGGAAAGAAATGTGTGTGTGTGTGTGTGTGTGTGTGTGTGTGATCAGCCCGGTTAAAATGCAAAAATTCCCACTCTCTCCTCCAGCCCGAGTCAGTGTGGAGGATGACCTAGCCAGGCTCTCACCCAGGCTCCTTACATCTCCTTCCCCCACAGCCCTGGGCCCAGTTGAGAGGTCCTGAGCAGAATGCCCGGCACTTAGCAGGCGGCTGGGTGAACGCGGGCGGCGGGGAGGCTCTGGGACGAAGGCGGCGCCCACCCCCAGCCTCTGTACCTGCTTGATGTTCCTACGGTCGGCTGCAGTCTTGGCCATGACCATGCGGAAGGTGTAGAGGATGAGGCCGGGCAGCCGCAGCAGCTCCATGCCGTTGCCAATGAAGGCCGAGGCGATGACATAGTTCACAAAGAAGGCGCCCTGGTCGGGCAGGAAGACGCACCTGGGGAACCACCGGGTGTGCGAGCTGAGCGCCCCGAGAGGGAGAGGGGCCCGTGACTGAGCAGAGACGGGACTCAGAACTGACCACGGATTTGGCCATCTGGAAGTCACTGTCAACCTAGACCCGAGCTGGTTGGGTATGGGTGTGTCTGTCTGTGGCTGCCAGCTCCCAAGTCCTCAGTTTACCCAGCGAGAACCCATTTAAGAAAATTCACTCTATCCTTTCAGATAGGCACGGCCAGGCTTCCCTGTGAACAGTCCTTTGGAAAAGTCTATCTTGGACATTCGGGCCTACATTAGGACTTAAAGTATAGTACAGTAGGGGCTGGGGATGAATCCCAGCTCTGTCTCTTAACTAGCTGGGTAGCCTTTTTTTCTTCAGCATGTCTGGGCCTCAGTCTCATCTGTAAAATGGAAATAGTCAAATTTCTGACTCATAGCTTGTTTAAAGATTAAATGAAGGAAAGAATCAAGCATTTAGCATGGCATCTTCTTAAATAACAGCTATTACTATTAAGTGGGTTCGGTACAAGTTGAAAATACTAACGAGGACACACATTAGAAATAAGTTCACCTCCTCTCTCCTAGCAAAACTAATCCTGGACCAGACAGTCATTCTGGTTGCAGTGTTAATTATTATTCTCCTTCCCCCTTCCCTGGCACCACTGAGACCCAGCAGTTCCTTCTCCCCAGGCCGTTCGGTTCTCGGTAAGTAAGTTTCAGAGAATGAATGAGAACGTCACTAATTGAGTTTCAACCTAAAAGGTTAACCACTTTTCTGCACTTGTAGCACAAAGCGGGTCAGTTCCCCCGGTGCAGCCCCGCCAGGAACCTGTAGTGGTGCGGGGAGTCCACAGGCCCTGAAGGACAGACAACCCTCCCCTCACTGCAGCCCCAGCCCCAGCCCCTGGGGGACGTGGCTCCAAAACTCAGCGTGGCTGATACTTACTCCAACCTGACAGAGGCCTCCGAGGAAGTTTTATCAAAGAGCCACCGGAAGAAAAAATCCAAACTGAAAGAAGAATGAATCCCATAAGAACTTATTTCCAACAGTCCATGTGATCACTGCATATGTTTTCATTTTCTTCTGTTTTTTTTTTTTTTTTAAAAAAAGGCCAGATCTCAAGATCTACCCTGGTTCTCTAAGATGCTACTTATACCATAACTCATCAGGGCCTGCTTTAACAGAAACTTCCTTCCTCGAAATAACCAAAGCCATGATTAGACCCTCTCCCTAAGTGGAAGGTCCATGGTAAGTTTCATTTTCAAGCTTTTTTTTTTTTTTTAGGCAGAAAGATCATATCTCTGGAAGAATCAGTGGGCCAGCACAATTGTATGCCAAGTGAGTGTGACAGGTTCAAATGTCGTCAGGAATTTGCAGCCACTCCCGAAGCGTCTGCATTTTCTTGAGGACAGTGTTCTCTGTGAGGCCCTGGTTCTGAATTTAGAGCAGGAGGTGGTAATATGTACCTGGTGAGGCCCAGGGAGGGCAGAATCAGCACCATGAAGATCAAGAATATGTAGACCTTGGTCATCATGATTCGGTTTTCCCCTGACCTGCAGGAAGTCAGAGGTGAGCCGTCACAGTCCCTCAGATGCACCGGGCGCCCCCAGTAAGGCCCCGGCTATATGCCCATCGCGCTGGCGGGGAGGGGGCATCAGAGACACCCACCTCAGGGGCGAGCCCCAGGGAACTCACTTGGTCCAGTGAGACTCCAGCAGTGTAGAGTAGTAAACGACGGTGGGCAGCAGGGCTGAGAAGGACCACAGGAGGAGGGTTGGGAAGAACTGGCTGATGATGGGGTCCTAGAGAACAGTCCACAGCAGAGAGAGCTGTGAGCCCTGGGGGCTTTGGGCCATGACCTGTTGGCATGGTGACTCAGTGACCTCTGGGATTTTGGTCACTTTTGTCCCCCAGAAGCAACATTGTACCTGGTACAGGGTAGATAATGTTGGCTGAACAGACAATAACAGCACCTGACATTTGTACAGTGCTTTCTTTTTCTTTTTCTTTTTTTTTTTTTTTTTTTTTGGTACACGGGCCTCTTACTGCTGTGGCCTCTCCCGTTGCGGAGCACAGGCTCCGGACACGCAGGCCCAGCGGCCATGGCTCACAGGCCCAGCCGCTCCACGGCACGTGGGATCTTCCCGTACCGGGGCACGAACCCGCGTCCCCTGCATCGGCAGGCGGACTCTCAACCACTGCGCCACCAGGGAAGCCCCAGTGCTTTATTTTTCTTATTTTTATTTTAAAACGATTTTTGGCCACGCTATGTGACATTTGGGATTTTAGTTCCCCCACCAGGGATCGAACCTGTACCCCCTGCAGTGGAAGCACAGAGTCTTAACCACTGGACCGCCAGGGAAGTCCCTGTATGCTCTTTAGAGTGAAGAATGCAACTTCACATACAACTAAACTCCACTTGTCTTACTGACCAGAGAGATAACCTCCTCCATTCCCTATAGAAAGCCAATGACGGACGCCAAAGGAAGACAGAGCACTGACGGCCAGGGCCCTTCCCCAGCCACCTGGCCCAGTCGTAGCTTCCCAGAGCTGCTTCGTGATTGTTCCCAATCTCATCTATGCCTGTTGTACTTGTTATTGCAATTACATGGTTCGATTAACTTATTACCTTCCCTGATAAAATGAGCATAGCAATAGAGAGATCTCTTTGAAACCTAAGTTGGGTACATTGGAAAGACTTGATAAAGGCCAATTTCTCAAAAACGCTGCTGAATTAGATGGGAGTGAATTAACTGTAAAAGACCAAGGGAAATGAAATCTAGGAGGGTTCTATACTTTGAACGGCTTTGCAAGTATCTTTAAGTTCTTGCTTGACTGTGAGAAAGCAAAACTAGAATCACAAACAATGAAATAAGCGTGTGTTTTATGTAAAATACACAAAGGGGAAATCCAGTCAGCAGATCCTTCCTCAAAAGAACAGGCCTTGACCATACATCAAAAGACTGGCAAAGGAATAAACATGTAGATGCTTTAAATCTAAACAAAACTTACATATTTTTTATTATCTATTGAGTCATTTGATCATCACAACGGCCCCATGGGTATAACATAGCAGAGTGTTATAGAGGACAAAGCCAGTTTTTAGAGGAAAAACCAAGGCTCAGAATTCATCAGCTAGGGAATGGCAGAGCGAGGACCAGGCCCTCAGGCCCCCCAGCCTACTGTGCTCTCCCAGAGTGTGATTAACCAAATGCCAAGTGGAAATGAAAAAACAAAAAAGGATGTGGAGTGATATTTCAGCAAAGCCAATTATGGGAAACCAAGCAGACGCCATTTTAGGGAGTGTTCAGCTGTTATCAATTCATCTAAGATCCTTAAAAATCATTCATTACCTATCTAGAATAAGGAACTTTACAACAGGATTATCAGAAACTGAAATATAAAAAGAAAAATTGATTCATGACCCTGCCACCCCAATCAGAGAAGCGCTTTGCATCCTTTGCTACCCACTCCCCGTAGCAGCCATCCTGCACACACATCACTGGCACATCACTATAACCATCGCTGAGAGATAATTTCATATTCTGCTTTTATCGTAAAACCCCATGTCTGCCACAAAGTCTATGCAATTTTTTAATGGATGCTTAACAGTCTGTCAGACTGAATATACCTCATTCAACTCCTAATTTTACCCCTACTGTTGAACATTTAGATTGATTCCACTGTATCTCTGTCTCTATAGTTAACACGTAGACACACACATATACATACACATACATGTATACATAAAGTATATACACACATGTATGTCTACATAACGTTACTATAAAGACATTGTAATAAATGTGGCCATGCCTGCTCAGGGGCTTCAAAGCACATGAGCCGAGTGACACGGCCTCTTGCTTCAGTGGCCCCCACGGCTCTTGGTCTCATTCCTCCCGCACCCGCCATGCCCTCTTGGCAGAGGCCCTGCAGAGTGGTCACTCACATTTAGCGCATGGATGGGTTTGGTGACGTTGAACTTGTCTATGGTGGACAGGATGATGGAGGGCGTGGTCAGGAAAAACAGCCCCAAGAAGAGAGTGAAGTTGATGCCCAGCCATTGGAACCACCAGCGGAGGCCCTGGATAGAGAGGTTCTTCCTGCAGAGGGGAAGACACAGGCCTTGGAGGTTTATCTCTCAGGCTCTGGCCACCTATGACACCTACAGTGCCCACGGCTTGGGTGAGTCAGAAGGTCAAATTTAGGCAAGGCAAGAGACTAGACTGAGGGCTCTGGCTGAGGGCCCATCTTGACCTTGGGAGCACAGGCAAGTGTCCTGCACTGACCTTCAGCTATAGGAAGGTCGAATTTGGGGTCCCTATGAGCTCAGAGGGAAAACAGGTTATCTGCAGCTAGGGTCTGGGAGCCAGAACCTATTCGAAGAGATGCCATGAGCCCCCCAGCAGACCAAACAAGGCTCCAACATGGCATTTTTCAGACACACTAAAGACATGTGACTCCCCACGGGGCCGTGAGCTGTGGTGTGAGCTGGAGGGAGGCGGGGGACAAAAGCAAAAGGCGCAGCTGGAACCCGCCCTGGCTTCTCACCCCACCAGGAGCAGACCGACAAACCAGTCCCAAGTTTAGAAAGCTCAGTGAACCAAAGAGCAGAACTGCCAGGGGCTGAAGTACAGCCCGGTGGAGATGAGCGCCCAAACCCTGCTCTGGACCAGGAACTGAGGCCAGGCCGGATGGCGAGCCATGCTGGGGCCTCTGCGGGGCTGTCCTCACCCTCGGCATCGTGCTTAAGGCTCCTGTGGACACAGCTCAGCTCACCAGCTTGTGGCCCAGGCTAGAGAGGCGGCTGGCACCTAACCCAGGGCTGCACTGTCTGTTACAGCAGCCTCGAGCCACAGCAGGCTACTGCGTGTTGAAGTGTGGCTGGTCCAAACAGAGGTGGGCCAGAAGTGGCACATACACGCTGGATCTCAAAGACGCTACATATGAAAAGGAGACTGTAAAACATTTCAATTAAAAAAAACTGATTATATATTAAAATGATAATATTTTAGATACAGAGGGAGAACTCTTATTAAAGTTAATTTTAACAGTTTCTTTTTTTTTAAGACCTGTTTTTTTGTTGTGGTGTTTTTGGTGTTTTTTGGCCTCACCGTGCACCTTGCAGGATCTCAGTTCCTTGACCGGGGATTGAACCTGGGCCATGGCCGTGAAAGCCTGAAATCCTAACCACTAGGCAACCAGGGAACTCCCCAGTTTCTTTTACTTTTTTTAATGTGGCTAAAAGGAAACTTAAAATTACATACATTGCTCCCATTATAATCCTACCAGACACTGCCGATACCAGGGAGAAACAATGGAGTGAAGTCCTGGCTGTGGACACACCACCCACCCCCATCACACCTCCCACCCCCTGCCCAGAGGGGTGCAGGAGAGTATGAGTGTCTCTCTGAGTGCCAGGTCACACCTGTGCTTCCAGGTGACTTGGGCAGCCCTGCAGGGCTCCCAGGCCCCATTCCCGCCCCTTGCTGGCCTGGGGGCTCACCAGCAGATGTCTTCGGGGTAAGCGGCGAAGCTGACCGTCCACTTGGAGATGCAGAGCTCTCTGCTGTGGGAGGATGGCTGCGGGTCACTTTTGCACTGAAGGCCCTGACACTTGCAGGCATTGAAGTCCTTCAGGATGCTGCCAGGAAATGTAGAAATGGCCAGGGTCCAGACCCCTCGGGGTACCACGTACCCACACAGCAAACAGGACCGTGTGAGAGTGGGAGCCCCATGGCACAGGACCTTTGCTTTATTATTAGTTTATTATACTTATGCTATAATTAGTGCTATGAAAGAGATGCCATTCTTAGCACATTATGTGCAGAATTTTGCTGAATCCTCAGGACAACCCTCTAAGCCGGGGATTACCATTCCTATTTTACAGATGAGGAAACTGAGGCTCTCAGAGTTAGGTTTTGCACCCTGTCTGTCTGACCCCAGCTCCCATGCTGTTGGCATTGCCCCAACATAGGGTTCCTCCTTGCGGCCCCCCTCTGCCCTGCCCATGAAGCTGGACATCCCGCTGCCAGGCCCGGGGCCTCACTTTTCTACTCCCTCACCTCTTCCCAGGCCCCATAGCAGCATTAGACTGCATCACCTACGACTCCAAGATGCCCCTCCCTAGGACTCCCACCCCCACCCTCTCCACTCCTTCCCTCTTTAGTCTCCCACAAAGAACCCACCAGCACCCCTACTCCTGTCTCAGAACACTCTTCCTCTTTCCACTGGCCTCGTCCCCACCCCAGCCTCACTTGAGAGTCTGCAAGGCACAGCCAGGAGTCTGTTCCCAGGGTTCACGATGCACAAAGCAGGGAAGGCAGGGGAAGGAGCATTTGCTGGGCCAACTCCTTTCCGTCTCCCTCTACCGACCCCATCCCCTGCTGCCCCCGAGGCGAGACGACATGGAGATCCCAGGCATGAGAGCGTTTTAGGAGCTAGAGCTCATGCCAAGGTGCACTATGAAAACCCACTCCCTTGGGCCAGGCTCTCAGCAGCAGTGAGCATCCTGGAGTGCCCAGAGGTATTCCCCCACAGCAGTGCATTTGTAGGGAGATGGGAAGGTCACGCACAGAAGGAAGATCTGTGGTTCCAGAGTGGGTACATGAAAGAGGGTGGCATCCACCCCACCTGGTGAAATGCTGGCTCATAGAGGCAATGGGATCCCTGGGGCAGCTGGTGAGAGCCCGGCAGTGGGGTAAGGCCATATCAACCCAAGAGGGGCTCAGCTGGAATCACCCACGCCCAGCTGTCACACAAACATCGGCCAGGCTCCCCAAGGGAGCGGGTGTGGATGGCTGCCCCCAATCCCAGCCACACCGGCAGAAGGAGATGGAAATGCTACAAACAAATCCCAGCAGTGGCAGTTCAGCAGTACCGTCTCTATCCAAGAGGGACAGCAATTTAGCTGGAGGCAGACAAGGAACATGCCCACACTCACTAGGTGGCCATGGACTTTTCCTGGAAGGTGACGAAGGCCATTCCCAGGGGCTGGTCCTGGACCCTGCATTCCTCTTCTGTGATCCTCTCCGTCAGCCTGTCCTTCATGCGCGTGTAGTAGGCGATGGCGTCCTCCTAGCAGAGGACACATCCCCTTGTGATGACATGGCCCTGTGCAGGTCTCGGGGGACCCAGCACCCACGTTCCCGGGGGGTGTGGGCCCTCACCCACTCACACCCCTTCACTTCACAGCAGCAGAACTGGCCGCAGGGCTTGGGGTTGATGAAGGTCTGCTGGCCTGTCTTCATCTGCAGGTTTGTGTAATAGGTCAGGCTCTTCTCTGTCTTTTTTCTGCAGTGGGAGGGACAAACTTCAGACTCGCAATCCTGTGGTGTGACTCACAGAGCCACTCCCCTCCTTTCCTCCCTAGGGGATCCGAGGCCAGCAAGGAAGGAGGATGGCATCTCAGAGGGAAGGAGTCAGAAAGGTGCAGGCCAGCTCAGCCCACGCCCGCCCACCCTGCCAGCCCTCTCTTACCTCTCCCTGCACAGGTAAATCAGCTTGGCCACGTTGTAGCACAGCTGGACCTCCACCACTTCACACGTGGGATACGCGTCCCTGTGCCCAGGGCAGATCAGAAGCAAAAGATAGCCATTGGAAAAGAGAACCCCCCAGGCAGCAGAGACCCCCAAGACTCCAGGGGTGGCAGAGCAATTACACTGCTCATTTCTGTGCCAGGGGGGACCTCTTTCCTCTTTGTCTTTTACCAAAGGGGGAAATTTTGAAATGTAATACAAAGAGGTCCTTTTAAATAGCATGAAAGTAACTGCCTGAAACTGACAAGTTTATACCCACTTGGCTTTAAATCAGTCAGTACTTCTCCTGAAGAAAAAAAATAACACTATTCATTACCTCCTCTACCCATGCAAAGGAGTAAATTTATTGTTTGCTCTAGGTCATTTCTACTCTGGACCATCACTGAAATCCTATTCAGTTTGTGACCTTTTTGAAGATCACAGACCTTTTTGGTCTCATGAAAGCAAAGGACCCTCAGCCCAGTAAATGCATTAACTTATTTGATCCTCGCCATAACCTGTGAGGTTTGTGTCCCCATTTTACAGATGAGGACAATATGTGTCGGAGAGGTAAAATGACTTGTGCCCAAGATCACACAGCTAGTGAGTGTCTGAGCCAGGAAGTGAATCCAGGCGGCCCAGCTCCAGGGCCCATGACTGTGCCCGGCGTACGATGCTCCCTCACCATATACGCAAAATCCTATGTGCAACCCCTGGGCATTCCTGAACCGTGTAAATCCCCACCTACTACTTGCTAGGCACTGGGATGGAGCCTGGATAAGTCTACATTTTAGTGAGAGAGAGAGACACAGCCCATAGACCTGTCAGGCAGACAACTTCAGGTCCCCTTACGAGCTTTGCGAAGAGAACAATAGTGTAAGCATCCCTCCTACAAGGCAGATTCACACATCAACCCCCGTGGATTGCAGCAGTGTCACTAAAAGGGCTGCCTGAAATAGGAGAAAGTGTGATTCAGCGTTTGTAATGGGAATGAGAGGACTTTTTTTTCTCTTTAAGGTAATATGTTAAGTGGAGCTACTGTTTCCAAATGTTGCCTAACAGGAAACTTTGGGGAGCTGTTTCAAGGAATAGAGAAAAATGATTCCAGTACCCAATGTGTATATATAGAAAAATATTTCTAAAATACCTAGAGTTTCTAAAAGAGAGGTTAGTCAATAAATTTTAAACATTCATTTTGCAATTCTGTTTATACTAGTAATTTGCTTAGCAAGTGTTCTTCATAAATAGTGCAAAGCCAAGCCATAGCCAACCCCTAATCCATACTACAAATTAATGACTACCGATGAGGAATGAATACAGGCTGAAACCTCAGCTCCCTAGCCCAGGTTCAAGTCCTCCAGCCCAGGGTCCTGGGAGCCTTCCCGGCCTGCTCTCCCCCGACCATCCCCTTTCCCGAAGCTCCATGCCTGCATTCATCGCGCCGTACACACAATTTCCTTCTCACAGGAAGGCCCTTGCTCTAGCCTCCACCTGCAGGTATCCCCAGTGCAGGTGCTCAGAGGAGGCTGCTGGAAAGGAGGTTCTGCTGGGAGAGCTGTGAGAGAGCTCTGTGAGGACAGGGCTCCGGACCCGGAGTGCTCACTCAAGAGACACGTGCTGAGCAGAAGAATGAACCACGAAATGCAGAGCGGGGCCCAGGTCCCTCCCCGCCTCCAAGACTGCTGTCTCTCGGGCATCTCTTACTCTGCAAAGCTGACGCCGAGAAGCCCAGGGTGAATCCTTTTTTTTTTGTTTTGTTTGCAGGGAATGTGTGGGCGTGTTGTATCTATGAATCTTTTTCTCTGCCCCTGAGCTCTCAAGATGTTTATCTGCCCCACACCCTGGCCTGTATTCTGGCTACTGCGTTCACGTGGGCAGCCGTGGCTGCCGGCAGAGGACGTGCCACCCCAGCCCAGGCCCTCACAGCCCCAGGAGAGCCTGCCCAGAGCAGCATCCGCGGCTCTGTGGCTGGGCCAGGTCCTCCTAGGGTCTCTCTCCCCTTCCCTCCCAGTGGAAGCGGCCCTGCTCACCGGAAGTGGCTCTCCACAGTCTCCTTCTTCGCGTCTCTGGAGAGTCCTGTGATGAACAGGGTCCGCCTCACCTGCCGGAGAAACACACCAGGGAGAAGAGTCACCAGGGCAAGCCAGTCTGCCAGGGGGACACCCTGTTCAAGCCTCCTCAAGGAAGACGATGGGGACTCAGAGGCTCAGGTGCTTGCCTTCCTGGCCTGACAGAGCCTTGAAGTCTCTCCTTTACATAGCATCTTCTTCTAGGCAGTCAAGAATAAATTTCCAGGGAATTCCCTGGCGGTCCAGTGGTTAGGGCTCTGCGCTTCCACTGCACGGGGCACGGGTTCGATCCCTGGCCAGGGACCTAAGATCCCGCATGCCACGCAGCGTGGCCAAAAAAAAAAAAAAAAAACATTTCCAAAGCAATTTCGATGAGCCTCCTTTGCATGACAAGAGACTGAGAAAGAACCCAGAAAGGGGAAGTGACTCAAATGAGGTCACACAGCAGATCAGAGGAGGACCCAGGCCTGGAACCAAGTAACAGAAACTCCCTCTCCCCCCATCAAGTTATGGGCAGCAATGAGAGAGGGAGCTGCTCTCAATTCAAACTTCTTGGAAGTTACTTAGAATCAGTAACTACACGCCCAAACCCCACAAATCTAAAGGCTAGTTGGCAAAATGGGGGGAAATAGCCAAATCCTAAAACAATCTACCAGAAAAAAATTTTAATGCCGATTCTGAGCACACATTTGCAAGCCTGAGGCCCCTCCTTACCCTCACTGCCATCGTGGTGCTGGGGAATAAGCCTAGTGCCACCCCTCCCCAGCTCCCACCTGAGACCCTCCCCAGCACGTGCCCAGCCCCCCACCGCCCCTCACTCACCAGGTTCTCCTCTTTGTACTTGATGGACTGGGTGTGGTGCCGCATGAAGCCCACAGTGAGGATGAGGTAAAGGATAGCGAAGATGGTGTGCAGCCAAAGGAGGTCGTTGCTGCGGGGGAGGGGAGGGACACCACCTGCCATCAGGGCTGGGCTCCCAGGCAGGGAGTGAGGGTGCGGGGCTGGGCTTGGTTACCCTCATGGCACTGAGCTGAGGGCCAAAGGCTTCATCACAACAGATTTCTCCAACAGAGGTTGAGTGGCCAGTGCCCTTTAGAGAGGGCACTGTCCTGACTAATGAACCCCAGCTCCACGGGGCCCTCTGTGTTTCCTAAAACCCGCTGCAAAACAACGGCGGCCTGGGGCGTGTCCATGCCCATAGCCCAGCAGCGGGCACTAGCGGCAAAGAGGCTTTCAGACATTAACTCGCTCACTTTGGACGACCTCTGGCCTATCCCGGGCTCCAGAATCCGCCCTCTCCTTGGTCTCACCCATCAGCACTCTCACACCCCCCAACTTCGAACTCACTCAGTCTGTAGGTTTGCGATGGTCGTCCTCCCAAAGCTGTAAGGGTCTTTGTCTGCAGAGAAGCACAGATACTCAGTTGCAGGGTCACACTAGGGAAGTGGGAGGGGGACAGCACAGCCTTGGTTTGTGGAGCTCTGAGAAGCAGCAGCATGAGATGTCCGAGAAGTCAGAGGACTGCATCCGGTCTCTTCAGAGCTACACCAACCAAGGCCTCTGCTTTACTCCAAGATGCTTCTGGCAACTTCTCAACCTACCAGGTGGGTAAAGTCAAAATCTGAATTCATCTTGCTTTGAGAGTCTTGTGGCATTCCTTGAGAAATCTAGAAACACCCTAAGCTGTTCCCAAAACCAAGGCTGGGAATCACTGCGCGTAAGAAGTGGATTCGTGATGGGGACGCTGGATTCCTGTGGGTGCTTGGAAATAGAACGCCACGCTCTGATTTTCACTTTGAGCATCACAGACATCTTCTGGATCCACTACTTGTGGCCTCCTGATTTGGGTGGGGGCAGGAAACTACAAAACACACTCTGAAAGTCCCTGATCAGTCTTGGCGTCTTCCTCCTACTTAGATTATTAGGGGCCCCAGCTCTTGGCCCAGGTTTGGGGCGGATTCTTCTCCAGATCTTTAAGCAGATGGAAAAGTTCAGAAAGTCACCCTGAGACCTTCTCACATCTGAATTTGAGCATGAATCCTGGGGTTCTGATCCACCACAATGAGGCCCCTTCCCCAGGGCTGCTGCTCTGCCTGGGCCCAACTCAGGCAAGACGAGGAGTCCTTACCCAGCAAGCTCCCCGAGAGGTTGACGGGCAGGATGACACACAGAGACAAGAAGCTGACCACCACCAGCAGGAAGATGATGTGTTTCTGGAACGACAGGTAGTGGATGGCGTCCTCCCCACACCACTCCAGGATCTGGTCATCTCTGGCCAAGACACACATGGAATCCTAGTGAGTAGTGGTAAGAGGCTGGGCCCTTTGGGCCTTGCATGGATGATCTCATTTAACCCTCATGACCGTCCGTGAGGTAGGTCCCAATTTGATCTCCACTTTTTTAAATATAAGGAAACAGGTACAGAAAAAGCACATTAACTTTTACAAACATCCAGCCTGTAACAGCAGAGCTATGACATGAACTCCAGAGCCTGGAGCTCTCAGCCCTCGCCCCACACTCCTGGATGAAGGAACCTGCCACTGCTCCACTTTAGGTCTCTAGAAACATCTGTGCCCACGTTTGTGTGTAAATAAAATTATCCCTCATCCCTTTCCTGCACCTGTGGACAAGCAAAGCCACTGATAAGAGGGCTGCTGAGAATCTCCTGAGCAAAGCTGTGTGTGTCCAGGCTCATGGCTCCCGCCCTTTCTCCCATCTCCTCCTCAGGGAAACTGGGAGACAGAGGTGGAGTCACTGCTTTATTTTATTTATCTTTGAATATTTATCTATTTATTTGGCTGTGCTGGTCTTCGTTGAGGCGTGTGGGATCTTCGTTACCGCGTGCGGACCTTCATTGCAGCACGCGGGATCTTTGGTTGCCGTGTGTGGGATCTTTTAGTTGTGGCACGCGGGATCTAGTTCCCTGACCAGGGATTGAACCCGGGCCCCCTGCATTGGGAGCGCAGAGTTTTAACCACTGGGCCACCAGGGAAGTCCCTGGAGCTACTGCTTTAAACATTCTCAGTCCATCCCGCTGGCCCTGCCTCTTCCCTGTGTCCCTGCTGTGGCCCCAGAGGCGGGGGGCGACCTGCTCCACCCTTTCCCACCCTCAGTGCTGTATTTGGAGGCTCCAGATCATTTGGAGACCCAGAAAATTCTGGGTTCTGACAGCCAGACTTCCATGCTACAGAGGGAGAAGGGGAGGGGGGTGTCTCCTGTTTTCCTATTCTCCTGACAGGGAGCTACCCTGAGGATCCTGCTTCCAGAAGACAGGGAAAGCCCTGCACTGGGAAGAAAGAGCTCAGGGAAGCAAGGGCCACAGCATCAAAAGGCAGGTGTGAAAGGTGTGGCGCGAGGGCTCTGCAGCCAGCCAGACAGACCACGGTGGACTCCAGCTCAGCTGCCTCCAGAGAGGGTCACAGCACCCACCTGAGGCTGGGACCTAAAGCAGGGAGGCTACGACCCGCTAGCTAGCTGGTCACTCAGCAGGTGCACAGGAGGCAGTGAGGATCCAGGCCCAACGCCGTGCCTGGTGCCGGGTGGATGCTCGCAGTACGCTTGCTAATGTTACCCTTTTTTTACTGCTTACCTGGAGGACAAAGCTCTACCACTGACTACACTGTTTTCACTTCTAAATACACTACCAAAATGCATATACTTTGCCACAGTACGTGCTCACTAAACAAACACTGGTGAAGATTAAAACCCATAAGTGGGACTTCCCTGGTGGGCCAGTGGGTAAGACTCCATGTTCCCAGTGCAGGGGGCCGGGGTTCGATCCCCGGTCGGGGAACTAGATCCCACGTGCACGCCGCAACTAAAAAGATCCCGCATGCCGCAACTAAGAAATAAATAAATAAATAAATATTTTTTAAAAAACCAATAAGTGAGTAATTTTCATCAACAATTTTTTCTTGAGATACACCTCGAATTTCCCTATCTTGCTGGGAAAGGCAATTTGGAAGGAAACTGAGAGGCCTCTTTAAATGTCAGTTGTAACGCTGGGCGTGAGCAACTGTTAAAATTTAATTGCAGGGCTTCGCTGGTGGCGCAGTGGTTGAGAGTCCTCCTGCCGATGCAGGGGACACGGGTTCGTGGCCCGGTCCCGGAAGATCCCACAGGCCGCGGAGCGGCAGGGCCCGTGAGCCACGGCCGCTGAGCCTGCGCGTCCGGAGCCTGTGCTCCGCAACGGGAGAGGCCACAACAGTGAGAGGCCCGCGTACCGCGAAATAAAAAAAAAAAAAAAAATTAATTGCAGCCTTAAAAACAGTCAAAGGGTAGTCCTTTCTGTGGCAGGAACAGAAGAGAAAAAACAGTGGGAGTTGAAATGGAAAAATATGTCTGATACAGCATTAAAATGACAAAGCAGAATACGCGACTGTATGGGTACGGCCTCACTCAACGAGAAGTGAGGTCCTCGCAGAGAGGGCAGGAAGGGGACATGGAGTGATAGAAACAGTGGGTATGGGCTGCGGTGCAAACCGTCAGCAGCCTTTGCTAGTTAACGTGAAGATGATGACTCAAAGCTGCTGGCTTTGCCCCACCCGATCGAGGCAGAGAGTCGGGGGCACAGCCCCGGGTGGGGGAATGAATGGCCTAAGTCCCAACCAGCGGTGCCATGGGCAGTGGCTGAGCAGAGGGAAACATGCCGAGGGCATCTTTCAGAGGTAGGGGTAGGGGTGACTTAAAATTTCTTCCTATGAATTCTGTTCAGTACGTGATGGATTTTTGCACAGAATATGCATGACTTCCAACACCCGGAGGAAACGCTGACATGATTTTGGAGTGGGCAGGGAAGGGCGAGGCAGGCAAACCTACCTCTCCCGCCTCTGTCCCCTCCTCCCTCCCAGAAACCTCCCCTCCTACTCCAGACCTGAGTTCACCGGTTTCTTCTGCACAAAATGCCTTCTGCCAGCTCCCCTGGGAACAACTGTCACCAGCCTGGGCCGTTCACAACACGCTCACGCGTGTGAATGCATTTGAACTAGACAGAGCAGGTGCTATTCTCAGCCTGCTTTCACAGTTGGGGAAACTGAAGCCCAGAGAGAGGGACTTACCCAATGTCCTAGAACCGTCACATTTCATCACTCCTAAGATGGCATTTCCACATTTCAACACCTCTGAAATGGGGGGCACCCTGGGATCATAGCCAATCACAGCATAACGGGAAGCATTTTCTCATTCTCGGTGCTGTGCGTCTTACAACGGCGGTTTCTCAGATAGGATGCAACACGGCCGCAGGCAGCAGAGCTGAGACTCGCAGCTTGGCACTGCCACCACATGCAAGGGGACTAACTGGCTTATAATCACCAAGCGCCTCTTTCAGGATTTCTCTCCAAGGGGCCCAAGTTTTAAGAAAAAAAAGAAAACTTCTAACCACATGAGCTGAATATATTAAGCAAACATTATTTCTCCACTTTTCACTAATTCAAAGACATGACACTGCCAGGAAGAGCTTCCGTCCAAATATATCCATGTTAAATAGTACGTAGATATAATTCCTGCCTAAAGCAAAAAATTAGCTTTAATTAGCTTGCACAGGGGGCCCTGGGCCACCTTTATTCTCAGCCCCCAAGTATAGCTTTGCGTCTGAACTGAAAAGTATCTGAGAGACTCCAGCTCAGGATCAGGCACCTTGGCTCTCTCCTGCTGACTGGCCGAACACCCAAACAAACCCACCCAGACAAAGACACCTCCAGCCGCCCGCGCTGTACTCACCGCAGGTGGAAGACTGCAGTCAGCCAGGGGCAGCATCCCTGGAAACGGAGAACAGGGATTAGCTCCCAACAATCTCTGTTTTTCGGAGGCAGACATAATCATCATCTTTGACTTTAAACAACCACCTAACCTCCCGTTTTATAAAAAAGCAGTGCTTTTGTCCCAAATTCAGCAAAGCAACCCTCTTGTCCAAACGCGACAGAGTCGGCGTGTTCCCAGTCCTCTGTCACATGCATCTTGTGCCTGGAGATCTTGTGAACGTCTCTCAAGTTTTGACAATTTGTGGAATTATACGGGCTCCTGGGTCAAATGGTGCAACTTGAATGGAGAGCTGATGAAAGTTCAAGGCCGCTCTGGAGAAGCTGACGGGGGGCTTCTGTTTGTTTCAAGATGACTGAATGAGATGCAAGACAAAAGCAAGGAACCCAAGCCCACTCAACTGGACAGTTCCCTGGGGCGGGGTTTAGAGAGGGAAAGGGTTTCATGGGCTTTAGTGTCCTTCGTATCTCTTCAACTTGATACCCCTTAAAGCTGGACTACCAGCTGGGAAAAACAAATATTTGCTCGTCATTCATTTGACAGTCACTTAGCACCTACTGGGTGTCAGGAGGTGGGGAACAGGGCTGGATAAGATTTGGTTCCTGCCCACAGCTGGCTCATAAGCTAGCAAGCAAGTCAATAATTAACTGTCACACAAAGCCGTTAAGTATGATAACACAGACAAGAGCTGTAGCCAGGTGCCTGAGAATTAATCAAAGTCTCACGATCCTGGATCACGCAGCTGCCATCTTTGCTGTGGTATTTCCCAAGTTCAGGTGTCTTTGTCAAAGCAGAGAAGAGCTCTCACCAGCATGTGCCACTCAAGGTCAAGGGCATAGAGTTAGCGGCTCAGCAGGAGTACAACTGCCCTCTCCCTGCCAATTCATTACTGCCCATCCTTGCAAGCCCCCATCCCGCAGCCACAACCATACCTGCCCCTTAAATACCAACCAGCTCGCTTTCAAAGTCCTGCTGCCCTGAGGAGGAAGATGACAGTCTCTGGAATCTGGACTCACTAGAAACACAAAAGGGAAAAATGGCAGATAATCCTTTTAAAAGGTCTAAAAACTTATGTCTAGTATCTCGCTGCCTCTTAGAGCTCAGGACCAAAGCTACTAGTGCTCGGTGGCTGGGACAAAATATAACTCACCGTGTGAAAAATATAGGCAAGGGCATCGACCATTCCAAGGTTTGGTGAGATGTCAAACTCTGTGTTACGTGGGATGAATATCAGGGGGTCAGGGTATCAGTGGACCATCCTGTGCTCCACACCCTTGAACCTCAGCCCTGTGACTGGTCTACGTAAAGTGACTTCAAAGTGTTGCCTGTTTACAATATATTTCCCAATATAGCAAATAAAACTTGGAATAAATACTGTATTTTATCAAATCTAAGACACCACTGGTTGTAAAGGGCACAATTAGTTTTTGAACCACTAAGGAGTAAAGGATGCTGTCAATTAACCATGATCACCATCGATAATAAGTTGCACTCAATTTCATAGATGAGAAAATGCCAAAGATGTGCATTTTAGACTTGATGAACTGGGGCATTTTACATTGCTAATTTGGGCAGATCCTTTCTTCTGAGTTACCCATAAAAACACCCCGTGCGCTGTGAATTTGAGGTGTTTGCAATATGCTACGTTTTGCTTTTCTCTCTGTTTTCCTACTCCTGGCTTCACCATCCCACTTCTCATGGCATAAGGCCTGGTGAAGCTCAACTTTCAAAGCCTTTCCAGAGAACTGCCTCAATTGACCTTCATGGTAACCCTATGGGCAAGAAGAGGCAAGAGGAAACAACCCAACGAGCTCAGAGTCCTGACCAAGATGACACAGCCACGGAAGTGTGGAGGCTCCTGATTTCCAGGTGCTCTAGTCTGTTGTAGTACTCAGCCCTCCTAGGAGTGAATGTGCCAAAAATGCACCAGGTGTTTCAAACGTTTCCCCCCAAACAGTCCAAGGCTGGCACACAGCTGAGGCAGAGGCCCCAGCACCTTACCCCAAGGTTAATACCCTTGGGCTTCCACAAACACCAGGGTGGAGACTGTGGGGAAAGAAGGTGCATTTACAGACACCCCCATCGCCCTCCTGCACAGACCGCATTTCAACACGGGAACCCCCTGAGGAACAAGAGTGGGGGTCTGCCTGCGGAGCCCCCGGGGAGGCTTGGGCGGGGCAGCCCGGGCCAGTCTCTGTTTCCCCAGTCGCTTCCTATCGCTGCATCTGGCACAAGATCCTGGGGTGAGGGACAGCTAGTTGGAGCTGGAAATTCCAGTTGTGCAGACCTGAAACTCATTCTCCCCCTGCAGGTGACATGCGTAGAGAGCCCAGGGTGGAGGCGGAAGGACGTGAGTCCTGGCCAAGGCAGTCTGTGCTGTGTGACAGAGCGTCCGAAGCGGGCGGATTAGGGCCACTGGCTGACCCTGACCCAGAGGAGAGGAGCAGCTCACCTACGGCCCTGCTGCCCTTCTCAATCCAGCTCGCCTCATCCCCAGCCCCGAACTAATTAATCTCAAAGAAGATACACTTGAAAATGTCCAAGGCGAGAAAGCAAGCTGGCATCCTCCTCAGCTGATGACGAAAGCCTCCAGTATCTAAGGCAACTAGATTTCTTCCGTAGCCCGAAGCAGCTGGCTCACGGTGAGCCAGCTCCAAGCCCCAGGGGAAAGCTGGGTGTGTGGGCAATGGTTTTCTTACCGCCACCAAGAAGGTACCAAGGCTAATCTCACAGGTCTGCGGTGAAGAGCAGAGAGAACAGTTTCTGGTACAGGCCTGGCAGACACACTAATGAACACAATCTAACACGAACATCATGTGTGGGCTGTGCCTGGTGGGCTTCACAAGCCCCCAGCCCCATCCCAGCCTCTGTCTCTGTCTCTGTCTCTGTCTCTGTCTCTCTCTCTCTCACACACACACACACACACACACACACACACACACACACAGATGCTTGACGTAATGAGTCTTTTTTACCTGTTTGCTTCTGACACCAGGGCAATGCGGCCATAATCCCAGAAGTTTCTTCTTATGATGGAAAATACCAATACTAAAAACTAAAAGTAGAAAAGAAATCAGGTCTTGTAAAAGCATATTGGATGGCTTCTAATTAGGGGCAATTGTCTTAGGGGCAAAGCCCGCCCCTCCCCCAACAACCCCCCCGCCGCCCCGTCCCCAGACTCAGGAGGGCTAAAAGGGCCAGAGAAGGCACGGAGCTGCCCAAGGCCACACAGCTCAAGGGCTCAATGCTGTGCTCACCCCCTTCACCAGCTCCTGTCCCCTGTGCCCAAGCCACAGAGGCTGTCAACACTGACACGGAGCTTGCCCCGGCAGCCCCCTAGTCAAGCACTCAGGTCCTGCTCTTTTAGTCTCAAGGCAGCCCTGACAGCCACAGCCTTCCTCAGCCCTGGTTTGCTTGCAGGGTCTCCTGAGCAGGAAGGCCCTCACAGCAGCCCTGGGGACCAGCTCCCTCCTTCACTTTACATAGAGCTGCATTTTTCATTACAGAATAGAGGTAGCAGAGCCCCTGGAAGCTGAGCCAGAAGTGGTCAGATCTTTATCTTGAGTTTGGTTCTCCTGGAGGCAAGCCCTGGGGACACCTGGCGCAGAGCATGCAGGGCCCTCGGCAGGCCTGTGTGCCCAACAGCAACGCGAGGCGCTGGACTCAAGACTAACCCCCTTTCCGCTCTAAAAGTCTGTCGATTCTAGACTGTCTCCTCGCTCCCCCCCTCCGTGTCCACCTTTGCAGGTCCTCTGCCTTGCTCCTGCCTGTCTCCCCTCCCTGGACAGGCTCCCTCCCTTCAGGGCTCAGCGTTTTAATCAGTATATCCCTGCCTGCCCTAGTCAGGAACTGTGGTTTTAAATGTGGGTTTTGCGTAAAATAGATAGCTAGTGGGAAGCAGCCGCATAGCACAGGGAGATCAGCTCGGTGGTTTGTGGCCACCTAGAGGGGTGGGATAGGGAGGGTGGGAGGGAGGGAGACGCAAGAGGGAGGAGATATGGGAACATATGTATATGTATAACTGATTCACTTTGTTATACAGCAGAAACTAACACACCATAGTAAAGCTATTATACTCCAATAAAGATGTTTAAAAAATTAATGAATGAATTGGCTAAATGGAATTTATAATAAAGAACATTGTATATTTAAAAAAAAAGAAAGCAAGCAAGCAAGCAAGAAAAAGAAAGAAAGAAAGAAAGAAAAAGAAAGAAACGTTGTTGAAGTTAATGAGCACCGAAAGCTGTAGTGAATCAGGGTCTCCTACACTGAGTTGCACATGCAGAAAGGAAACATGAAAACTGGCATTTTCTCCGTCCTGTTTGTCCGTGTTGGACATTCCCTTTATTCACGTCATGATATTCTTTCTGGTATTCCTTCATGCTTAAGCACAAATAAAATCGCTCTGCTTCTCAAGATATAAAAAAAAAAAAAAAAAAATGTGGGTTTTGGACCCTAGAGGGGCTGAGTTCCAGCAGAATTTTCTCAAGGTGAATCTGGAAGTTGGTGATATATTTTCAAAGGCAGGTGAGTCCTGCTGTCGGATAAACATGAAGGCAGCTTGGCAAGTGCCTGCCCTCTGCCCTGGCTGCTGCTCCCTTGGCTCGAGCGGTGTGGACATTTCCCACACATCTCTCTCCTCCAGGCCCCTCTGGCTCTTTGGTGGTCCCTTCCTCCACCCCACCCCCAATCCCCGTAACTTCCTGCAATACAAATCCACCCCCACCAGCACACTCCACTGGAGAGCTACTCTCTCTTCTCAACCAAGACATACCCACCCCAGCCTGCCTCTCCGGACTTCTCTCCTTGGCCCAGACCCTCCCCTCCCTGGAGACGCTGGATGGATCACAGCTCTAGGGCCACCCTCCTCCATGAATCCCACCAACCCTCAAATCCATCACCACTCTCCTGCCTACTCCCTCCTCCCAACCAAGGCTGGTAGATGTGACTGTTCTCAACCTACAAATGGGTTTTGGCTCCAAGACGTGGGTTATTCGGCACTTAAAGAGCCCTTTTTCGTAAAAGCAACATGAGTAGCACACGGGTTCCCACATCTGCCCTTAGAGGACCAACAAATGTAGCAAAAGTCTAAGGCAACAATTTAGACTTTAATCCTTGGGAGGAAAATGCAAAGAGGAGTTAGGACTCCCTTTCCCTCTTCCTATGAACATTTTTCCCCCCAAGCAAACTTGGGTTGGATACTCGCCTCCTTCAGGGACGGGGGCCCTCGGACTACCCTAACCCCCCTCCCCCAGGCCCCCACCTAACCTCTGGCCCAAAGCAGTCCAAGGGGTCTACTCCCTCCGTCCCCTCTTACCCTGTTTAATCAGATGGCCTCCACTACATGGGAAGAGAAGGTGACAAGAGGGACCAACCATCCCATGGGCACTTGTCCAAAGAAGGTGCCCCTAAGCCCCAGTAAATCTCACCTAGCATGTCTGAGCCAGTCTAGGGGAGAATACGGCATATTTCAAATTGGGTTGGGGGGGCTGTCTTTGGGAACAAGGAGGTCTGAACTAAAGAAAGGCCACCTGTGAGGGTCGGCACTGATCTCGCCTTTCCCCGGTTTTCTCCCTTTCTCGTCTGATCCTCTAAAGGCCCAGGGGCCCCAGCGGGGAACACGGGTGCGACATTTATAAACTGGGAATTGCAGCTGCTCTAATGCCTATTCACATCTCTCATCCCTGTGGACCGGCCCTTCCCAGGGGCCTTAGACACATGACAGGCTGATAACTCGGTAACAATGGTAATAATCAGAAGAATCGTAATGTGTATTCTTTACATACATTGCCTTATTTAACCTTGTCCCAGAATCTTCGAGGTAAAAATTATTACCTCCATTTATAGAGCAAAACCTGAGGCCTAAACAAGCTATGTAACACGCCCAAGGTTACAGAGCTGCGAAGTAGCGGAGCTAGGACTTCAACCCAGGGATGTCTGCTGGCTCCTCACCTGAGTTTCCCAGAAAGCCCTGGGGTGGTGGGGAGTTGGGGGATGGAGGTTAAACAAACAAATAACTGACACGATTCCCAAGGAGTCTCACCAGGAAGCAGCTGACGTCTATGAAGAGGACAGTGGGGATGCCACCGAAGGTGACCCCCTGGAGCACGGTGCTGTTTTTGGCCGAGTTGTAGCAGTAGGAGTCATTGGGCTGGTCCCCGATGCCCAGCCGCTGGCGGATGGCCACTGCCCTGGATCGCCACAGCTCCAGGAATGGGGAGTCAGTCATCGTGCTGGTCCTCCCTGGAGAATGGGACCCGGCAGAGGGTCAGGGCTCCAACTTTCCCGTGGTTTCCCCAGCCAGCGCCGGCAGAGCCAAGGGCGGGTGTCTCCTCCAGGGGCTGGTGGGGCACAGGGATCAGGGAGAGGCAGACACTGGCCCCGAGCACCCGGCAGAGGCTACAGAGAATAGCTCCATTGTGGGAACAGCCCGGAGGGTCAGATGCACCGGGTGGATGGCTCACCCAGGACACAGCTGGCCGCCTCCCCAGCGGGGGTGAACAGGAGGACAGGGGAGGACAGGAGCTGCTATGGTGCCTGCCTAAGGGGTGCCAAGTTCCTCCAGCCTCAGGGACGACTGCCGGGAAGTCATCCCTGCAGCGGGACCCTGGGAGGTCCGGAGGGCAGGCAGGGGAGACCAGGCAGGGCACAGGAATCAACAGAGGAGGAGGAAGAGTGTCCAAGTGCAACAACTCTTTTTTTTTTTTTGCGGTACGCGGGCCTCTCACTGCTGTGGCCTCTCCCGCTGTGGAGCACAGGCTCTGGATGCGCAGACTCAGCGGCCATGGCTCACAGGCCCAGCCGCTCCGCGGCATGTGGGATCCTCCCGGACCGGGGCACGAACCCATGTCCCCTGCATCGGCAGGTGGACTCTCAGCCACTGCGCCACCAGGGAAGCCCAACAACTCTTGATCATCTGAGCCACAGACAAGAGTTCATAGGATGTCAGGCCGGGGCCTTAGAGACAGGCCCACTCCATACACTTGGAAACCGAGGCTCAGAGATTAAGGTTAAGGAGCTGGTCGGGGCAGAACTGGGTCTCAGACCCAGCCTCCTGGGTCCCAGACGCCAGCTCTCTTTCCACTACGCCACACTCCCTCTGCAGCCGGCTACACACATGGGTTAGTTTAGTGAGAGATTAAAAGCCAGCAAAGGGGTAGCGGAGAGGAGACAGAGGAGGCAAAAGGGGGTGGTCTAGGGTGAGGAGGATGGGATCCCAGGCCTCCTCAGGAACCCCTGAGTCGCCCACCGTGCACCGCTGGAGCACTCCCCAGGCTCTGCCCTCTCATTCCTACACCCCTAGCCTTACTGGAAGGTCCAGCATTTCCAAAGCAAATATCGCTCCAGGCTGGTTGTTGACTTTTCCTTCGAGGCGCCTGGTAACCCAGGTGAAACTAATGGAAATCTCCAAACACCAAAGGCCCCAGAGTTAGCAGCCAAGTTCTGGCCTGCTTTTCATACTGTCTGTGGCTGAAGAGCCTGGAGAAATGCTCAGCAACACCTTCCTCTCAAGGTCCCACCTCCTTAAATCTGGTTAACCTAGATTCCCAGGGGACTTCGGCTAAGTCTGGTCTTTCTACCTGTTAGAGGGACAAAAATCTTGGGGACAAGAAGAGGAGGTACAGAGAACAGACAGATATTTGAACTACGCGGTAATACTGGCAGGATGTGTGTTGGGGGAAGGTGATTCCCAATTCTGGCCCCTGGGACGGCTGGGTTGGGGACAGTCTCTCACACACACACACATACACACACACACACACACACACACACACACACGACAGGAAGTGCAGGGTGGGTGGGGGGAGGTGGCAGGTCAAGGGCATGGGAGGACTCCTCAGAAGGCCAAGTCACTCTCTCATCCCTATAAGAGACTGGGCAATGGCCGGAGGATGTGATGGCAGAGCCACAAAAGCTGCCTCGGGCAGACAGATGGTCTTAGCTTCCCTCCTTTAAACCCCACCCCCTGGCACCACCCCAGCGGAACGCCCAGCCTGACACTGATTGGCAAAGGCCTGCCCCTCCTTCCTGTCCCCCGCACTTACCAGATGCCAGGGGAAGGAAGTGTGGATGAACGCCTTGGAGAGGACCTCAGTTGATGCAGGCTCTAGCAAAGGCAGTGGCAGCCCTGGCCACCCTCCCAAGCTGCCTCAGGTCCGCCACTCATTTCCTGCAGGGCTTTCCAGACTGGGGTCATGGGGCACCAGCCTTTACAGGCTTCCCTGAAGGAACACAGACAGTCAGAGTCACATGGGAGCTGCCCTCTTCCAGTTCAGGGCTTCTGGTCTGAAACCCTGCAGCACACTTCCCCTGCACTCACACGTGCCCCAATGTGTCGGAACTCAAACGCTCGTGCGGAGCCTGTGGTTCTTTCCAATGCGCTCCCTCCAGCCCTGGCTCTCTCCCCAGACTCCTAGCACTACGGAGGGTCCACACTCCTCTGTGCTGTCCTGCTCCTCTCTCCTCTCTCTTCTCCAGCATCACCTGAGGGTCCAGCCTGCCCCCTCTTGTCCAACGGCTCAAGGCCCTACTGAAGCCAGGGCAGTGGACCTCCCCCTACAGAAGTACTGGCAGCTGTAGGCTCCAGGAAGACTGAGTCCAGGACCTCATATAGGCCCCAAGAGGCTTCCCCAGGGCCCCCAAAGGCTAGAATCAGGAAAAAGGAATGCAGCAGAACAAACAAGGAAGGCTTGAAAAGTGAAGTGGAAAGAAAAAAACCACCCCCATAAAATGGTCACAGAGGGAGCATTGTCCCTGGAAAGGGGCAGCTACTGCAGTGGTGCTGGGGCAGGATGAGCCTCACCAATGCTGCTTTGTGTTGAGCTCTGGGAGAGCAGAGGCCCCGTGGGAAGCAGGTACCTAGGCTCCTCTCCCCCCTTCAGCCCCAGTCACGCCTCTAAGTCAAACAGGCTCCCCTGGGTGGTTTGACAAGGTTAGATAAGAAGGACTCAGTGAGGTCAGCCATCAAGTCCCACCAGCCTGGGATGGAACCTCAGGGCTCCCCAGAGGTGGCCTGTCTTGCCTTCCCCCTCCAGGTGAGGGCACAGCTTTGGGGGCCCGCATTCTCTCTCAGAACTTTCTGCTTAGTTGTAGTCTGTTACCCATGGAAAGTCCAGATGCTCCTGAACCATGACGGTCCCTCCAGGGCCAGCCCCCTGCATCCTCCCAAACGGGCACGCTCTGAGAGGGCAGCTGGAAACACACGCACCACAGGGTGGCCCCGCCAGGCTCAGAAGGAACAGGACGGGGAGAGAAGGCAACTCAGCTGGTGGTGACCAGGAGAGAGCTAGCTCAGTGGGCAAAAGACTGGTAGTGCTGGGCAGGGGCCAAACCACCAAGTAGGCCCTGTGGCCAAAGGCGCCCTGCCTGGCAATGTTCACTCATCCCATATTTGTCAGATATGCATGTGTGAATGCCTAGTCTTATCCATGCCTTCCAGAGAGCTCTCTGCTCATCGCCTCATTCAGGAAAGGCAAGATATACTTCTGAGGCCCAGGCGGCAGGTGAGCAGCAGGTGACTCAGGCCCCAACGCAAAGTTCAGCCCACATACACCATACAGTCTGGTTGTGGCCAGTGAGACTGAGAGCTCAATGCCATGGCTGGTCCCAAAATTGCCAAAGAAGTCAGCCACCAATGCTAACCCCCGCCCACCTGAGCTGGTAGCTGCTGGCCCCTGTAGCACACCTGAAGATCTCTACGCCTGCCCTGCCAGGAGTGGCAACACAACGCTGCGGGAAGCGTGTGAGCCTCGTCAGCTCTTGCAAATTCAGGGTATTTTTATCATCACCAAATTTTCCGACCTTGTTAGGATGACAGGCAGCTCCAGGCCTTCTGCCACAGGAGGTGACTCTGATGTTCTAGATGGCAGGTTGCAAACCTCTCCTTAAAGCCCCACCAAACAGGGCCCAGGAACCTGGACAACCATTTACCTCCACAGACACAAGCCCTGGAGCGCCAAGGAAACGGCACAGGGTCTGGCTGCAGTGGGAGGCGGGGGCAGCCGGCGGTCACCTGGGCAGGCTCTGGAGTTAGGGTCTCCGCACCGGGTGCCTTTAGACAAGTGGCTTAAGCACTGCGGTCTGGCTTCCTTCTCCATCAAATGGGCACAATGACGTCTCCCCTGCAGGGCTGGTGAGGGGCAATGTCCATAAAGCACCGAGCCTTCGTGGGCACTCAACACCTCCTCTTATTTTGTCACCTCTCCAGACAGCGGGAAAGACAACATTAGGAGCAGCAGGACCCCATCTGATATTTTTCCTGTCACAGCCCAGTGAACAGCCAAGGGAGACCTTTGCCCCCAAACTAAACAAACAAGAGGTGAACGAAGGCAAAAGGAGGCCTCTGCTTCTGTACACATCCACCTCAATGCAGAAGCAGACTCAGTACTACCTGACAGCTGTCAGAGGAGGGGAGAAGGTAGAAAGACAAGGGGCGTGCAGAAGGGAAAAGGGAAATATGGGTCGTTTCTCCAACAAGCAACGACCTGGAGTCTTTCCTTCCTGCCAACGACTGTCCACAGCCCTGCAGGAGCCAGGGCCTGAGCAGGACCCCAGGATGCCGCCTTGTATGCACTGGGCCTGGAGTGGTGAGCCCGCTAGCTTAACCTCAAACCCCGCATGCTGTGGGGCTGGGACACAGCCACACAACTTCAGCGTGGAAGGAAGCTGGCGGGTCATTCTGTGTACCACTGTGGCCTGCTGCCCTTCAGGACACCGCCTGAGCTGAAAGACAGAGGCCACGCCAGAGTCTCAGGTGGCCAGGCTTATCAGGTACTGGCACCGCTGCGTTTTGGGTTTCCTGGCAGAGCTCTCCTCGCCCTCCCCACCCCTCCCCAAACCCCCAGCTTCCCTCCTCAGGACTCCACCAGGGCTGCAGGGAGCGGTCACGGGGAGCAGCCCCAAGGTGCTTTCTACCCTCCCAGCAGCAGGTGACTCAGATGCCTGGCCCCTTCCCAAGCCCACCTCGCAGAGTCGGAGAAGGAAGGGCCCCCAGCCTGCGCTCCGGGTTAGGCTGGGAGGTCGACACCAGCTGACAAACCCCCAAAGAGAGGGATGGGAAGAGAAAGGGATCAGCCATAAAAGCGAAAAGTTGGAGCCTTGGAGGGGGAAATCCCGAAAAGTCGTTAGGAAGTGGAGAGGCGCGGCGCTGGAAGAGGGGCGCGGGGTCTGCGGGGCCCAGGGACGGACCTTCTCCTCCCACCCACCCGGTCACCCCCTGCTCCGGAGTCGGGGCTGCGGAGGCCGGAGGGCCGCATCCCGGAACCGGACACTAGACATGGCACTCTGACGTAGACCCCAGGTCCTGCACGTCCCGGCAAAGGCGGAGGGCGACATTCCCCCCTCCCAACGCTTCTTCCCCTTTACCTGCGGCGGCGGCGCTGCGGCCCGGCGCGGCCCGGGGAGGTTGTCTGGCTCCACCTGGCCAGGCGGGGCGGCGTCCAGACTACTTAAAAGTTACAAAGTGAAACTCCGGCACTCGTGCACATGCGCAGACCCGCGACCACTGCTTGCTCAATTTGCAGCTTCGGCGGGGCAGGCGTCTGCGCTGCCGCCGGCTCCCGCTCCCCGGACCGTGCGCCCCTCGGCGATCCTCCGCCTTGGCTTGGCCCCGGGGCGGCTGCTCAGCCCGCGCAGCTCCTCCTAATGTTCTGCAGGCCCCGGCCGGGCCGGCTCGCATCCTGGGACCGAGGAGGGCGCCGCCACGGCTAATTCCTCTCCCCAGCCCCCGGCGCGTCCCCCTTGCCCCGGCACCTCGGGGAGCCCCGGGCCTAGCACAGGGTGGTCGCGTCCGGGGGCTGCGCGGGGAGAGCATCAGCAAACGTTCTTGATTGTCCTGTATTGCACTGAATTTCCGCGACCGGCTCCTCGGCCCGCCAGGGAGAGTGGGAGGATGGGAAGCTCGGCTGGGCTCAGCCCGCACCTCGGCTCCACGCAGTCCGCGGTCACCCGGCTCCCAGTGTGAAAGGCCGCGGCTCCCCCACCGCTCTGGGCAGCCGGACAGGGAACGCCTTGTGGGGGGTGGGTGGGTGCGTCCTACGTTTGGCCCCAAACGGAGGTCGCAGTATTTTCAGCGGTCCCCTGGAGCCAAAGCGGGTACTGCCAGGACCAGGCCGCCGGGTGCCACCCATCTAGCCCAGCTGTTTCCTATGAGCCAGCGGCCTCCGCAACTGGACTGTAAGCTCCCCGGGGGCGCCGGGGTGTGCGCTGGGCCACACGCAGGACAGGGTTCAGTGAGGACTCCGCACCCTGTGAAACCGAAGACCACCGCCTGCCTGCGGCACCAAACTGCCCTCTTCTGCAGGCCTCAGTTTCCTCGTCTGCAACACGAGGGGGTGGGACCGAAGCTTCCACTCAGGTCCCTTCCAGCACTAGAAATTAGTAAATCCTGAACAGGCCTTCACTCCGCACGTGTGCAGCTTTGCAGGGCCTCTGACCCGTCTTCCATTTCTGGGTCTTCCTCTTTCCTGGAAATGGTCAAAGTGTGTTCCTTCCCTCCCTGCCCACGCCTCCAGCACCAGCCTGGGGCTCTCTGGAGTGGGATGGGGTAGGGGATGTCTCCTGCTTCTCTAACAGCTCCTTTTGTCCCATCTGGCTTCCTCCCTCTCCTCCACCCACAGCCGCTAGTTATTTCTCACAGTTTGCCCTTGGCCCCTGCGCTCAGCCCAGCCCTTGTCCTTCTGCGCAGGTGCCTGACCATCTCTCCTGCTCTCACCTCCGGCTGCCAAGGGCCTACACCTGACCTCCAGCAGGTTCCTGGGTGTGGCCGCCGGACTTGCCCCTATCTTCTCAGACTGCCTCTGTCCACTCTCTGCCCCCCCATACGCCCCACCTGCGTGTCCCTATTCTGTCCCTGCCTCAGTTAATGGAGCCACCCCCTGCCTGGTCTGTGCCCTGGGGCCCAGGGAAGTGCAAAGTTCTAACCCCTAACCTAGTGGAGCCACTGACAAAGAGAAAAGTTAGGATCCTTGATTTCAGAGAGGGAAGGGATTTCTAAATTTGACTTTCAGTTGGTTATTTCAAAATCAAGAGAAGGCCAAGATAGATCAGAATGTGAGCTGAAATAACCATAGCCCCCATTACGTGTCAGGCAGTATGGAGAGTGCTTATAAAAACACTATTTCTGGGACTTCCCTTTAGGCGCAGTGGTTAAGACTCTGTTCTCCCAATGTAGGAGGCCCGGGTTTGATCCCTGGTCAGGGAACTAGATCCCACAAGCATGCCACAACTGAGGAGCCCACCTGCTGCAACTAAGACCTGGCACAACTAAATAAATATTTAAAAAACAAACAAAACAAAACACTATTTCCTTAAATCTCCAGTAAAAGTACAGGAGTCAGGGACTGTCCCTATCTGATAGACAAGAAAATGAAAATTTAGAGGATATAGAATTTATAGCTAATAAGAGCTGTGCAGCCTGGCTGGCAAGGAATCCAAGACATCCATGCCCCAGGCCCAGATCCTACATCAAACTCAGTTTAAAAGCCAGTGTAATCTTGGCATTCAAAAATCTTATATTCACCATTTTATCATTTGCTCCCTTTATCTGCCCCCAAATCTAAAGAAGTGACCCACATTCTTGTAATATTGATGATGATTTTGATCACAGATTTTTAAAAATTTTGTATCAAGTAGAATTGAAATAAAGCCCACTCCCTGTGCCCAGAAAAGTAAAAATGTCAACAACAATGACCAAAATAAATCCTGCCTTAATCCTAAAAGGACAGGCACCTTAGAATCAATGCATTTTGATCCTAGCACTCTGTATCACCCTTAACTGAGACCTCGAAAAGTCTTTTGAAGCTTTTCCCTTAGTTTTCTAACCTGGTTGACCTAATCCCTATAGAACTTTCTGTTCCCTCACAATTTGCAGGATTCTGGGTAAAACATAGCAATACCGAATAAAATCTGTTTTATTTGTTTCTTGCAGAATACCCTTATTATCTGAGTTGGGAATGCACAACCCATACTTGACCCTAGGTTTTAAGCCCAGAGTGGCAGCTGCATCTCCCACCCATACCACAGAGCTCAGCCCAGATCCAGTGACAGGACAAGGAAACAATGACAAATTGTGGTTTCTCCTCTTAGGTTACAAAATCTACACAGATAAGTGCTTAGGATACAGTGCAGTGAATAATGTCAAGAAAAGGTAGACTGGGCAGGGGTTACCCAGTGGCCAGGCAGACTTGTTCCTGGGAAACAAAAATCAGAAGGTGAGCTGACTGGTCAGAAGAACTCAGGAGAGAGCACAGAGCATGTGCCATCCACGGTTCAGTAATCCCCCTCTCTCCTGGTACCCTGGAACACTTCTGACACACACACAAGCCAAGTCCCTCGATGGCTGCACCCCACACCTACGGCTCCAGCTTCCTTGGTACAGGCGCCCCATCTGAGGCACAGCTGCACTTCTGCACCCTCATGTTGGGCAAGCTGACCACCTGGGGCCTGGGCTTGCCTCCCTCTGGGATGCTGACAATCATGGGCAGCGAGGTCGTCTCTGAGGCGATGCACTGTCTCGGCCCCAGAAATGGCCACTTGAAGGTCAGGGACTCTGGGGGCTGCTGGCAGGTGCCCACACACTCATAGGCCAGGAAGCCTGGGGGCTCCAGGACCCAGTTCTCAGCCCACTTCATCCCCTGCAGGTCAATGTACACCTCCCGGCGGCAGCAGCGGGTGCCCTCGGTCGCTGGTGCCTTAGGATCACAGTTTCCCTGAGCTCTGTGGGGGGCAAGGAGAGGCAGAGTCAGAGGTCAGCTGGGAGGGCAGAGGTCAGCTGGGAGGGCAGAGGTCAGCTGGGAGGGCAGAGGTCAGGGAGCCCAGGGCGGGGCTTAGTGGGGCATCTGGAGGGAGATTTATGGTCCATCTCTTGTTATGTTCAAAATGCTGGCTATTTGTGATAAGTGGTGAATGAATAAACATATCCAAAACATAAATTATAAATCAGTTACTGTTCACTAAAGGTTTCCTATTATGCTAGGCACTGAACTAAGTACTTTACATATATTATCTCAGATGATACTTGCATTTCATCCTCAGATGAACCTTGAAGAGGTTCCAGTATCATTCCCATTACACACGAGGACACAGAGACCCAAAGGTGTTAAGTGACATGCCAGAGTTCCTGCAGCAGTAGAAGGCAAAGGTACATGCACCCAGGCTGTACGATTCCAAAGCCCTGTTATTAATCACCCTACTACACAGCTCCATCCACTCCAAAGAGCTAACTCGTCCCAAGAAGAAAGAATTCACCAATGCCAGAGGAAAGCTGTTTAACCCTAGTAACCGCTAATGCTAATATTTTTCAAAGAATTAATCAGGGAAGAGGGTAGAGTGAAAATAGATGATTACAATAATGTATACGTATCAATGACAACATAAAGCTTGTTGAAAATACCTGAAGTTTTTTGGTTTTTGGTTTTCAGTTTTTGGTTTTGTTTGTTTTCTTTTTGCCTGTTGGTTGGCTTACGGGATCTTAGCTCCCCGACCAGGGACTAAACCTGCACCCCCCTCACCCCCCGCCCACAGTGAAAGCGAGGAGTTCTAACCACTGGGGTTCCAGGGAATTCCCTGAAGATATTTTCAATAAAATATTTGGATAATAAAAATTCCTACCATTAGAAACTCTTAACATGTAGTGGGGAATCAGTTGCATCCTGGGGCTATCTGCATCTGCCCCCCGGCTGGTCCCCGCCGCCGTGGGCCTGGACCACCCAGTCTACTAGAGTCCTGGCCCTGCACCTACCCGTAATCCCTGAGGTCCAGGGTGTGCAGCTCCAGCTGGGGCTCCCGCTGCCCGGCGCCCGACGGCCCCTGCGAGGCGAAGCGGACCAGCGTGTGGGCGCTGGAGGCCAGCGGGCCCAGGTGCTCCCGCTGCACCGACACCTGCAGCAGCAGCGACTGCCGGGGCCGGCGCAGCTGCTGCCAGAAGTTCACGGCGTCCGTCACGTCCAAGGCCTTCCAGCCGCTCTCGTGGATGGACACCAGCCTGCGACACCACACGGAGACACGGGCCTGCGCTGAGGGGTGGGGACTGGGGCGGCTGGGGTGGCCCCGGGGGGGGGCCCTCTCCCACCCCTCTCCTCCCCTCCCCTCCCCCCCAGGGGCCCCCCGCGCCGCCCCTCCTCCCCCAGGGCACCCCTCCTCCCGCGCCGGGCCCAGTCCCCCTCCTCATCCCCGCCCCACACCCCAGCCGCCACCTCCCCACCTGGAGTCGATGAGGGAGGTGCGGTTGGAACCGTCGTCGCGGACGTGCAGCCACTGGACGGTGATCCGGGCGCGGTCGCTGCGCGGGAAGAGCCGCTCGTGGCTGCGGAGCGCGGCCTTGGGGACCGGCTCCTGGAAGAGGCGCAGCACGGCCTGCACCAGCTCGCTGTGGGGCGGCAGCCGCTGCTCCATGTCGAACACCAGCAGGTGCGAGGAGACCTCGGACACCAGGAACCTGCCGGCCACCTCTGGGGACACGAGCGGGGTCAGCG